TAAACTTTCTTTCGCGGGAGTCATTAAAGGCTCCAGCAAATTAGCTAAATCGCTCTCCTAAATATTTAGATTAATAAACTACTTTCACTTTTTGTTTATTTTTAAACTGCATACGATGAGCTATCAGTTTCTATGATGATAATTCTGCACTACCATATTCACCAAACATACCTCCCTCGTTTTCATTCTGATATCCAATGTTAATGTAAGGCAGTAATAAGAAAATATAAAGAGAATATTAAACAAGACTACAGCATAAATACAATTTGGCTCTCCTTAATTCAGGAAAATGTAGAATTACTCTTGCAATATAATTATTAAGAGTTTTTTAAGGGAGCTTTTTTCTCATTTTTGAAATTGGCAGGAGCTATTTATTTCTCCTGGAATTATAAACGTGAAGAACTGAAGTATGGCTACTTAACAAAGTTGTGTAGTCTTTATGAATACAGAACTTCCCCAAAGGATATAAATTGAACAGCAGTTCATGGGAAAAGGCCAGATATTGCCAAAATAGTATTTTTGGGTACTGATTGTAACTAGTAACTAACTACTAATAATAAAATCACAAACCCATGGGAAAAAATGTTAACCCGTGGGGTTTCAATTCTTTCTGTCTTATACATACATGTACAGGGGTGTTAAAAATCTTAAATCAAATTTTGCAAACATTCTGATTTATTTCCCACCATAAGTGTGAACTATAAGATTAGTAGTCAGTAGACAATGAAAAACTTGGCCCACTGTATTAAGTAAATGAATGTTCCTCCCATACATAAGTATAATTACTACTATTATACTTAAATCCAGTGGCAAAATTAGCCTATTTAGATGGTCAAAGAGGGCATTTTCAGTTAAAGGTAACATATGTTCAGGTAATAATAAGAACTGTTTCTTGTAAAACTACCATTTTCAATGACAGACTTTATGATCTAATGTGCACATGTTAGCCCTTCAACCAATCTCACGACATTACATGTATACATGAGAAACCTAACCAAGCATAGCCAAAGATTCATCCATAAATTGCCTGGATTATAATATTATACATGTATTCTTAAAAACAGTCCCTCCCTCCCCCATTTTGTGTACCATGCAATTTGTTGTAATTTTTTTCCCTCTTCCTGTGCCCCATACTCTCATATTCATTGCAGACGGGTGAAATGGTTGTGGGATGAACTGACCCGCACCCGGCTGGTAACTACAGGTGGGAATTAATAAAACAATAGCATTCGACCAATCAAATAATTAATGTTAATAAAAAAGGGGCATTTATGACTCAACTGTACATTCAAAGGCATGATTTTGTATGGCACCCAGACAGGTGAGAATTAATAAAACAATAGCATTCGACCAATCAAAGAATTAATCCATACTGTACTTACGAACATGTATATTCAAAAACATGGTTTCATATGGCACCCAGGCACTTGACCACAGGTGTGAATTAATAAAACAATAGCATTCGACCAATCAAATATTTAATCTATACTGTTATAACGTAATCAAGAGACGATGACGACGAAGAAACAACAAAAGGCGATCGAACGGCAAACCTCGCACTCCGTAGAAGGATATCTCATGTTCATCACTACAGCACTGGCGATATGCCCAGTTGCTTGCCGGTTTTAACACCAAAGACGAACACTAATGAGGTACCTCCTATGGAATGTGAAACGCCAATTGACCAATAAATAGACAAGACAGAGAGGCATCCATCCGGACAGTCATCATGGCGGGCCAAGTAAAAGTTCTACAACTAAACGTTAATGGACTGGCTCCCAGATGTGCTGAGCTGAGAAAATGCATCACCCGCAACCCGAAAGATGTAATATGCCTCCAAGAAACCAAGCTACTACCAACCAAGAACGACATCTACTTGCCCAGATACACTTGTCAGAGAAGGGACAGACCGGGCATCTACATCAGTGATAACTTAAATTATATTTCTGTTTCGCTTGACGTAGAATACCCTGTAGAACAATGGGCATAGCCATCACATTGAGCAATAATACAAAATTGACAATAGTGAATGTCTATGTACCCCCAGATGTCACGAGAAAACCAGTTGACTTCCAGTCATTTCTCGACCAGCTTCCTCAGGGCGAATTTGTGTTTTGCGGGGATTTCAACGCAAAACACGTCCTGTGGGGGTCACCGAGGAATGACTGTCGGGGGATTAGCCTATGCTCAATAATAGAAGGGAATGACCTATGCGCACTGAACGACGAGAGCCCTACTTTTGTTGGAGGAAATGCCCCACCTTCACACCTGGATCTCACGCTCTGTACGCTTGGCAAACCGCTGCGACTGGCAAGTACACGAAGATGAAACACTTGGCAGCGACCATCTACTGATAGAACTCTGCATCCAATGTGAAACAACCAGGGAAGTCTATAACGGGAAACCCAATTGGAAAATAAAAGAGGCTGATTGGGCTAACTTCCGTGTAGGCTGCCTTGGGTGGAAAGAAGAAGACATCATCGATGCCAACATCGACATGTACGCAGCCAACATCACGAGTGCTATTATAGGTGCCGCAGACGACTCCATTCCTAAGACTTCTGGAGGGCAATCAAGGATTAGAAAACCTTGGTGGTCACCAGAATGTCAGAAGGCGGTTAATGAAAGAAAGAAGGCACTACGCCTACGGAAACGCCACTACAATGAAGTCAATCACCAAAAATGGACACCAGATAGTTCTTATGGTTCAATAATAAAGTCGTATGTGAAACTCTTGGATAAGTATGGTCTAGCATATTTCACGGGAAAAAAGGAAGAATTTCTGTCTAATTCGTCCAACAAACAGCTCTTCATTACGATTTTAGGAACAGAGATTAAGAAAGCTGGAGGGCAAGTTGTCCATGCTAGTGGAGATGCAGACCTAGACATTGTACTGGAGGCAGTTGAATCGGCGCTGATACATTCCACAACTGTGATTGGTGAGGACACTGATCTCCTAGTTCTACTGTTGTACCACTTAAAAGACCCAGTAGTCAGAAAAACTATATTTTCGGACGGACAAAGAAGCCAAAAACATTAACGTTTATGATATAGCATTGGCAAGACAAATCCTGGGAGAACGTGTTTGTAAGCGACTACTGTTTCTACACGCTTTTACAGGGTGTGACACAACATCAAGGATTTTCGGAATTGGGAAGTCGACGGCGTTCTCCAAACTTATGAAATCCACTAAACTAGGAAAATCTGCGGATTTGTTCACTACTAGTGGCAAGAATGTGGAGGAAATTTCGAGAGCTGGCTGTGAAGCAATGCTCACGTTATTCAACAGCAAAGAAGAAAGTTTAGAGAAATTACGCCATAATCAGCTGACAAGCAAGGTCTTCTCGTCGAAAAACTTTGTCACGCCTGAACAGTTGCCTCCGACTGCGTCTGCAACGATATTTCACAGCTTGAGAACATATCACCAAATAATGACTTGGAAGGCTGTATCTGGTGATATGGTGGTGACTGATTGGGGATGGAACATGTCTAATGATAAACTCTCACTTTTACCAATCATGACTGATCAACTTCATGCACCGGACGAATTATTGAGAATAGTTCACTGTAACTGCACCACACACTGTGCCAGTATGAGATGTGGGTGTCGACGATACGAACTCTCCTGTACTAGCGCATGTGGTTCGTGTCAAACGGACAGTTGTGATAATAGCATTAAACCCGATATTAATGCAGATGGAGAGGATAATGATGCACTACCTGACATTCCATAGTGTATAATTTAAATAAATGAAATGGGGTTTGACCTCCTACTGTTTTGCTACGACTGGGCTAATGAAGACCGGCGTGTTTTATATAAGACACTTAATATATAAAGTGTGATAGTACCTCCATTTATTCTTACTTTAATTTATTAAAATCCATTTCTATTCAATTTGTTTATTTTCTGACTCGAAATTGCGTTATGACGTCACTTTATATTTAATTACTTGCTTTTCTGACTCGATATTGCGTTATGACGCCACTATGACGTCATAGCAACAATTTGACCCCATCATCTGATTCAGTGGTATCACTTTTATATTAACTCATAGTACATTTATATGGTCTAAAACGCTTCCTTTCCGAGATATTTAGCATTTTAAGCCATTTCACGTCGTCGTCCGCCATCTTGGATTGATTATCGATTTTCGCATAGACCCGCAAATCCAATTTTGGAAGATTTTTGGTTTTTTGATAAGCAAGTACCCTAGATACAAAAACAGTTGAATCCAGCTTTCTGCAAATTTATTCCAGGTCATAGTGGGTCTGTTCCATAGATTTACTGGTCTAATAGGGATTTAGTGAAGTGGAACAAATTTTTCTAATGTTTAAATGGGGACACTGGGGGATGAAAGTCCTAAACACTTGACCTCAAAATATAATATTAAATATAAAAGAATATAAATTAGTCAAGTTATTTCTTTAAAAAATACATTCACTGCAAGTGGAAATGAATAATAGCACCATATAAATTGAGATAAAATATGAAAATAGCGCAACCATTTTATGTAACCAATTGGTTACGCAATGATCACCTTGCGTTACCAAAGAAAATGGATAAACCCGCAACGAGCCAAAATTTGAAATTTCGTGGCCTGAATGTCCTATTTTTCTGCTCCGACTGGGCTAATCTAGATGGGCATACGCCACACAGTGTGCTATGAGGGAAGTTTTGCCCGGACAGCAGCGGTATGGCCTACTCTTATATTGAATTCCAACTGCCAACAATTCTTTTACATGCCCGCCAATGTGTACACGGGACATCGGTTTCTCGTACCATCCGAATGACAATATATTGTCCCTTGCCAGGCCCTCAATCATGCACAACTTTACCAGCCAAACCAGGGACTGAACACAAGCCAATGTGGTTCCTCGAAAGTGAAAGAATTTAGGGTTAAATACAAAAGATTAAACAATACCCAGGTGGACGAGTAGGGTGTCCATAAACAAATGTGAGTGAAAATTTGGTTGTAGTTGTATAAAAATCACTACTGTACCTGCACTTGCATCTGAAACGGCTCTGTTAATAGCTGAACTTGAGACAGTTTTATTTCTTTGAAATATTTCTTCAAATTCTTGTTCAGTTAGTGCTGGAGGTGGAGGTTCATGTCTAAAACAAAACAACCTTAATTAATGTATGGATAGAAATCTGGACCCTGTTTCACAACCAGCGGCTGCCAGGCAGGATACGCCCAAATTTTCGAGAGATGGATAGAGAACAAGCTAAGAAGAAAGTGATTTTTCCTACAATCAAGGGCCATAATTCAGGAAGTTACGGTCCGATAGGCGCGAATATCGAAAGGAACCAAGATCTTTGGGTTATAAACTTACATTTCAAGTTTCAACCAAATCGGATTAAAATTGTGACCTCCATAGGGTCCACAACCTTGATATACCATATTTTTACGCTATTTGAGAACGAAGGGCGACCAGTTTGTCTGTCAATTTTGGGCCGATTTTCACGAAATTCGAACTCAGCCATCCTTAGGGTGTAACGGTGATATAATAATACGTTTTTTTTAAATCGGATAAAAATTATAACCTCTATAGGGTCCACAAGCTAAAAACGCAATTTTTCGTACAATCAGGGGCCATAATTCAGAAAGTTACGATCCGATATGCGCGAATATCGAAAGGAACCGAGATCTTTAGGTTATAAACTTACATTTTAAGTTTCAAATAAATCGGATAAAAATTGTGACCTCTATAGGGTCCACAAGCTAAAAACGTAATTTTTTCGTACAATCAGGGGCCATAATCCATGAAGTTTCGATCCGATACATGCCAATATCGAAAGCAGCCGAGATCTTTTGGGGATAAACCTATATTTCAAGTTTCGTCAAAATCGGATAAAAATTGTGACCTGTAGAGAGTCCACAAACAATTGTGGACGGACGGACGGACAGGGGCGACGGCATAATACGTCCAAATGAAAATGTGGGCGTATAAAAACTTAAATCTCCTTAAAATTCCATCCTAACTTAAGATAGATGCATTTCACAAAACGATTTTAAGCATTTTAGATAAAATCCACTTAAATAATATTGTAAGTTAAAATTCCATCCTAACTTAAGATAGATGCATTTCACAAAACGATTTTAAGCATTTTAGATAAAATCCACTTAAATAATATTGTAAGTTAAAATTGTATCTTAACTTAAAATAGTGGCGTTTCACAAAACTATTTTAGGGACAATTTTAACTAAAATCAATTTTAACTTAGGACAGCCGTCACCCTCTCATAACTTAAAATCACGACATTAACAAACATTGATTAGAGCTACGTTGTGAGATCTATTGCGACATATAGATATATTTGGAATAATGATAATATTGCCAATGGCCCGGGTTATATAATTTAAACATACTACCATTCACAAAAATAATTTTCATTCAATTTCTTTTCATTGCATGGGAAATATAGCTGCATCCCACCCGTTTTATTTTATTGTAAGGCAAGATAAGCAATTTAGAAAACGACCCAAATTAAACCCCCAAGAACAAAATCTAGGCATTGGTTATTTTGTGTATTAGTTTAAAAGTTGTTAAATACTTTTAAAATTCGACAATACTTAAGTCTAGATTATTCGTTTGAGTCAGAAATATCACATTTTTGTGACAATTGTCAATAGTTTCTGTTATCCAAAATACCATAAAACTATGAAATTCGAGCGATTTAGTTTATTGATACGCATTATTTCCATTGAAGCCTGCAAGTAAATCAAATGCCAAGGTCACGAAAGCGACATGCAAGTTCAAGGCCAACCAACTGATAGTTTTCAAAATGATTAAAACATAGATATGATGTCACCCTTTGATGTTTTTAACCATTATATAGGAGAATGTACGCTTTTCTTAAACAATCGTCTATTATTTATAAAACTGTCCATTATTTTCAAATAATGGACAGTTTTATAAATAATAGCTGATTGTTTAAGAAAATACCAATAATGGACAAGTATCTGAAAAATGAACATGTATTTTGGGATAATTTATTCTCTAAACAAATTAAATTACAGAACATGAAATTACTTTAAAACCTCATAGTTACCGAAATGTCACATGACCGAATATTGATTTCACGTGTTTGTCTACATAAAGAATTCCACTTAAATCCGTCCGTTATATGTCACTTATCCGTTTAATAGTATGTTCGGCTCTACGTTTCTATACGTCCACATTTTCACACCTTCTTTGTGGCCAATCCACAGGTCATAACTTAAAATATAGGTATATATCTCAAACATCTCGGTTCCTTTCTTTATTGGCTTGTATGGGAACGTAACTTCATGGATTATGGCCCCTGACTGTACACACCAGAGGTCACAAATATTAGCCCATTTTGATGAAACTGAACATGGGTATTTATAAACAAAAGATCTCGATTCTTTGCAATATTGGCGCATATCGGACCATAACTTCTTGGATTGTGGCCCCGGATTGAACAAAAAAAAAACGTGTTCTGAGCTGGTGGAACCTATGCAGGTCACAATTTTATCTGATTATAAAAAAACGTTCAAATATATCACTGTTACACCATAATGACAGTTGAGTTTGAATTTCGTGAATTGGTTTGTGCCTTTGATCCTGTGTCCTGTCAATTATATCAGAGTATATATTAAATTTTAAATCAAAATTGGGACGGCTAGTACCCTCCATATTAACCACAGTATTAAGAAAATTATCAAGATATAAATCATTCCCGTGAGCAGCCTTTCCATCACAACTTTGACGGCTATTATCCCCCCATATCAAGAACATCAGAATTTTTACGGCTATTATCTTCCATATCGAGTACATTACCAATGTAATCAGTATCCAAATGCTTACCACATATATTCTCATTATCAATATTTGTTTTCGACTGTTGTAAACATGTGGTCTCCATGTCGAATATTTTGGACTGTCTGTCTGTCTGTGTATGCTTGCATTGTATGACTGGAGTGTTTTGTCACATGCATTCATGAGCATGTGCATGTTGTTTTAAGAATATATCCATTATTTTATGATTTGTTGTTTTAGAAAACTATCCATTATTTGTATCTATATGGTGCTATGTTTTAAGTTTGATAATAGCCTCAGTTCTTTCTATTTACATAATGGACAGTCTTCGGCCATTATCCATCACATAATACGCAATAAACTTGTTTATTTCATCTCTCTACGACTGTCTGACCATGTGCAGACATTATTACAACGTATGAAACTCTCTTTATTGGTATTGTAACGGTTAGTTTAACCTGGCAAGAGTTTTCAGTTCCGAAGTGTTTAAGAATGCACCCTGGAGAGTGCCCTTGCCGGAATTGTGCACTGTGCGAGTGCAATCAATTTTAACTAAAATCTATTAAAATTGCATTGCAAGTTAGAATCGATCTTCGTGAAATGCATAAAATTTAAAATTTCATTTTGATTTTTGTTAAAATCTATTTTAGTGATTTTAGTTAAAGTTTTTGTGAAACGGGGACCCTGGCCATTAACAATCTATGGATGACATAGTTCAAGACCATTATTGGTTGACCCTTGATAACCAGGGCTGTCGACAACCAGTATCGCAATTTGCGATACATATTTTGTCCATTGCCAATCAAAAATTAAAATCTAACGTTTTTGATTTGAAGTAACTGCAAATAATTAATATGCTTGTCATTTTGGATATTGACACAAAGATTTATCCACATTTTGAAAAATAGAAGGCTTTCTCAACACTTTCAACGTGAACAAATTGCCCAATAAAAGTTATAAACAAAACTGAATTTCCTTGTGACATTTTATTCTAGGACAACCCAGACACAATTTATTATACTATATTATACAGACTCTACATAACTCTATGAATAGGGACTATTAAACCAGAAATAAGGAATCAAGTAGTACCACTCATTTAGCAAGACATTATATCAGTATTCAATTTGAAAACCAGTGGCTGCCAGGCAGGATACACCCACATTTTGCAAGAGATGGATAGAGAACAAGCTAAAAACCAAAACGATTTTTTGTACAATCTGGGGCCATAATCCAGAATGTTATGGTCTGAAATGCCCAAATATCAAAAGGGACAGATTTTTGGAATATAAAGATTGTGAACTCTAGAGGGTCTATAACCTTTGTATAACATACTTATACACAATTTGTGTACAAAGAGCGGCCATTTTGTCGGGCAGTTTCATTTTGATTATCCCGAAATTCAAATTCAACTCTCATTATGGTGGAATCTAAACATTTTTTAAAACCAGATAAAAAATGTGACTTCTAGAGAATCCACAAGCTAAGAAGTGTGATTTTTCGACCAATCATGGGCCATAATCCAGGAAATTACGTTCAAATATGTGTGATTATCAAAAGGAACCAAGATCTTTATGATACAAACATATATTTAAAGTTTCATCCAAATCGGATAAAAACTGTGGCCTCGAGAGGGTTCACAACAGGGCTTCCACTTCAAAATTTTCACTACTGGTCATTTTTGATAACACATGAAAACTTTGCAAAGTAAATTCATATTTCATGTTTTTTATTCATGGTAGGGTATTGTGAATTCACATGTCCAGGGATGTAGCCACACCGGGAGCTTGCACCTGGCACAAAGAAAAAAATCGAAGAAAGCCCCCAGCCATATTTAAACCCCTTCGTCCCTCTCTATACACAAACTCAGTGCTCGAAATTTACCACAGCAAACGGCAAAGCCATGGTAAAAGCCGACGCAAACCATGTCTGCCACGGCATAATTTATTTTTGTGTGCCGTAGTAGATCCTATCATCCCAAATTAGTTTAAAGAAAGAAGTATTGGTATTTTGTTTATTTATATTTAGAAGTTGTGTAGGTCTATTGATTTTACAATTCTACAGTCTTTAAATTTGTATATTTGCCGTAAATAGGTCACCCAGACCAATTTACGGCACTCCAATGTTAAAGGTTTGGATGTTGTAAATGGTGTCGTAATTCGTGAGACACAAGTCAAATAAAACAACGTGTTTTAATTATGAATATCTACCTGTTGTCATAATTTGTTGTACTCAAATGAAACACAAACACCGTTTTAAGAATAGTTTCAATTTTTAATCTCAAAGTAATAAAGTAATATTTGAAAAAAAAAAAAAACCCCAAAAAGTGAGAAACAGAGTGGGGTGGGGCAATTTTATGCTCGGTTGGTTGGTGTCAAAAAGTTTTTAGATCCCTGGCAGAGTCTCTGTATCATTGATGAAAATTAAGTGAATTTGGTAAAAATTTGAATATATAAATGGAAATTTGACTTGCACTGAAAATACATCAAGAAGGGTTGAATTTTCATAAAAGACCACACCCCCACCACTCAGCAAATCCTGGCTACATCCCCTGCATGTCTATACCATATTTTTACACTATTTGCGTACAATTTTTGTATGATTTTCATGAAATTCGAACTCAACCTTCATTAGTGTATAACTGTGATATATATTCATATATATACCATATATTTACACTATTCGCGTACAAGCGGCGGCCATTTTGTCCGTCAGTTTTAGTCCGATTTTCACGAAATTCGAACTCAACCTTCATTACGGTGTAACGGTGATATACTAAAACGTTTTTTTAAATTGGATAAAAATTGTGACCTCTGGAGGGACCAAAAACGCGATTTTTCGTACAATCAGGGGCCATAATTCAGGAAGTTACAATCCGATATGCGCGAATATTGAAAGGAACCAAGATCTTTGGGATATAAACATGAATTCCAAGTTTCATCAAAAGCAGATGAAAATTGTGACCTCGAGGAGGTTCACAACCTTGATATATCAGATGTTCATACTATTTGCATGCAAAGGGCGGCCATTTTGTCCGACAGTTTTAGTCCGATTTTCATGATATTCAAAAAAAAAAAACGTCATTAGGGTGTAACAATGATATACTAAAACTTTTTCTTTTAATCGGATAAAAACTGTGACCTCTAGAGGGACCACAAGTTAAAAGCCTGATTTTTCATAGAATCAGGGGCCATAATTCAGGAAGTTACGATCTGATATGCGCGAATATCGAAAGGAACTAAGATCTTTGGGATATAAACATGCATTCCAAGTTTCATCAAAATATTATTGTTTAATTGCATGTATCTAGTTAATCGAGCTGATTCGTTAATTTCTACATGTGTCTGATTAACAAAAATAGTAACACACATTAAAAAGTAAACAAAATTGTTTTCCAAAGAAGATTTCTAACGTAAAGAAGAAATAACTATGAACATGAGTGGGGCTTCGGAAGCCACTGCCAAGAATTGGCTTCAGACATAAAACCTAATCAAAATTCTACATCACATTCACAAACTGTCACAGCTACCTGAAGCAGAGCTAAAAACGATCTAAGAACAAAATCTAATCACTTGTTATGAATTATTGTAATTATTTGTTATTTAGGTGTTTTAAGTTGGAACTGAAAAACTGCCAATCGATTTTTAAATTTGCTAATCAAATTTGGCCTTTTTGATTAGCAGTGATGCTAATCAACTATGAAAAATTACTGACAGCCCTGTTGATAACATACCTTTCTCTTTCTCGTTCCCGCTCACGTTCTCTTTCTCGTTCTCGTTCCCTCTCTCGTTCTCTGTCTATTCTTTCACGATCTGCTCTGTCAGCTGGTGGCGGCCGACCATATGGATCAGGATAAACTGTAGGTGGTGGACGACCATAAGGATCAGTAGCTTGAGGAATGGGAGGTGGCTAGAAAAATAATCAAATCATATTCATTCAAAGAACAAAATCGTACTTAACCCATTTTTGCCGAGAGCAAATTAGTTCGCACAGTGTCATTAGATGGTAGCTAATCAACTCGCTGACCAATCATACCTGGCATCGGCATTAGCGAATAAAAACAACAGATTAATCAACTAATTTCTATTGTTTTTATTTCTTAAATTAATTTCAACAAAGGATCTTCCAGTATTTACGTAATAGGTCAGAGGTGAAACTTCACACTGTGTCAATGACTTTGGCTTTAATCCAATATTTTCATGATTTACTGCCAGTCATATCCTGGAATTTGATTATGTCGAAGAAATAAACTATTTATTTTTTTTCTTGACGTTAAGATGTGAAGAATACATATATTCCAGCTGAGATCACACCATCTTGGAATGCTTTCCGCTAGACAATACCACAAAACTTACGGCAAATAATTCTAGACTTTGGAAAGCTAATTAACTTGAATCAAAACTTTTAGGGATAGGGTAGCTAATCTGTTAATTGGTTCTAGGGTTAAATGCGTTAAGTACAAATGAAATGGGGTTTAACATCTTACTGTTCTGCTTCGACTGGGCTAATGAAGACAGGCATACGCCATGCAGGGTGCTATAAGGGTACTTACGTACAGTAATTTACTTCTAAAATGTTAGTGTTATCAATGCAATACACAAAACATTTATATATTCGATTAAGAAATAAAATATTAGAAAAGCCTATAAAAATTATTTTTTAATAAAACGTTCCCATTTTGTTATTTAAATAGGTTTTAATATTGAAAATTCTTCTTTACTTAAAGTCAAAACAAATGAAGAGCTGAAATGGCTGTAGAAATTCATTCAAACAAAACCTACACTTATTACCACATGCTCTCACTGAGAACTACTAAGAGGTTGATCTGTATGCAGCCCTTATATAAATCTCCGTTTGGCTTGTTATTTGTACGTCTATCGAAAGAAAATTAATTTCCCGACTAATACTTGGTATTGCCGCGTTAAAATTGTAAATAAGGTGCGTTAATTAACAAGGGTGAAAAACTGTCTGAGAGGTGAGTTAATTAACACCAGGGGTGAAAAACTGTGCGACAGTGCATTTTCTGTAGAGGTGTGTTAATTAACCGCCCGATAAAAAATGAATGTCATTGGTGTGTATTGTTTAATTGGCGTGTTTTCTCGCTAGTTGCGATAACTGCACCAAAAGGCTTTATCTGACACGCACGTGTTAAATCAAAATTTGGAAAGTAAAACTGTTTTACCGTGTGATTTATCATCGACCATGTGTTTACGCAGGTCTTTGTACAATTAAAGACAGGTCTTTAGATAGGTGTGTGCGCTCGCTATGATCTACGTTTCTCTAATGCGTCTTTTGTATTTGCATACCATATAAAGTTGCATTTAATGAAATAAAAATATGGACCATAATCTATCGTATACAGAAAGGCGAATGCAATGTCGTCATTTATAAATACCCAGACGTCAGCACCCAATTTGAATATCTACGGGAATATAGAGAAAATCCAGAAAAAACTTCTTTTCTACAACCGAAATATATTTCTGCTTTATTACTAAAAAGACACGCACTCACCGTTTCACATTTATTAAATTTATACAAACGCGCCACAATGCGTAAATTGTGCATCCTACCTTCAATAGCAATATCCATAAAACAAAAATCTCCATATTGATAAATACCACGACACAACCAACTGAACAGTGGTAATTCCCACAAAAATGATATATTGAAACTAAAATTACTTTAGCTTTTCACTAAATGTACATCGCATACAATTCAACGAACCTCATTCCAGAACTTCTAACGTATAATAGCCGTTTTTTTTTTATGCAATTACAGAATTGTCCCGTGATATAACATATCAAAGAAACATATACACCAGAACTGTCGCGTAATCATTTTTCGTGGCTTGTCTTCTATCGTTACGACTATACCTGGCGTTTATACTGCGTACCATATAGTCACGCTAGTTGTAGATGAAAGTTGCATTTTATAAAAATACAAGCGGCTGCCAGGTAGGATATGCCCTCATTTTGCAAGAGATAGATAGAGAACAAGCTAAAAAAAAAAAACACTAGTTTTTGTACAATCAGGGGTCATAATCAAGAAAGTTATGGTATGAAATGCGCAAATATCAAAAGGGACTGAGATTTTTGGAATATCAAAATTGGATAAAAATTGTGACCTCTAGAGGGTCCATAAACTTTGAATTACATACTTGTATACAATTTGCATACAAAGAGCGGCCATTTTGTCGGCAGTTTCATTTCGATTTTCCCAAAATTCCAATTCAAACTTCATTATGGTGGAATAGTGATCTAAACGGTTTTTAAAATCGAAAAAAAAAAAATTGTGACCTCTAGAGAATCCACAAGCTAAAAATGTGATTTTTCGACCAATCAGGGACCATAATCCAGGAAGTTATGATCTTTGGGTTATAAACATGCATTTCAAGTTTGATCAAAATCGGATCAAAATTGTAACCTCTAGAGTGTCCACAAGCTAAAAATGTGATTTTTCGTACAATCAGGAGCCATAATTCAAGAAGTTTTGATCCAATATGTGCGAATGTCAAAAACAACCAAGATCTTTGGTTATTAACATGCATTTTAAGTTTCATCAAAATCGACACAAAATTGTGACCTCCAGAGGGTCCACAACCTTGATATACCAGAAATTTACACTATTTGCGTACGAGAGGGACCACAAGCTAAAACCAGCGGCTGCCATGTAGGATACGTCCACATTTTCTAAGAGATGGATAGAGAACAAGCTAAAAACAAACAGGATTTTTTGTACAATCAGGGGCAATAATCCAGAAAGTTATGATCTGAAATGCAAAAATATCAAAAGGGTCTGAGATCTTTGGGATATAAAGATATGATTTAAGTTTCATCAGAATCGGACAAAAATTGTGACCCCTAGAGGATTGACAACCTTCGTATTGCATACTTTTACACAATTTGCGAACAAAGAGCGGGCATTTTGTTGGGCAGTTTCATTTCGATTTTCCCGAAATTCGAATTCAACCTTCATTATGGTGGAATGGTGAAATATTAAAAATCGGAAAAAAATATGTGATCTCTAGAGAATCCGCAAGCTAAAAATGCCATTTTTCAAACAATAAGGGGCCATAATCCAGGAAGTTAAGTTCGGGTATCCGCGATTATCAAAAGGATCCATGATCTTAGTGTGTAATTGTGATATATTTACACATTTTTTATAAATCAGATAAAAATTGTGACCTCTACAAGGACCACAAGCTAAAAATGTGATTTTTCGTACAATCAAGGGCCATAATTCAGGAAGTTACAACATTGATATACCATATTTTTACACCATTTGAGTACGAGGGGTGGCCATTTTGTCTGTCAGTTTTGGTCCGATATTTATGAAATTCGAACTCAACTATCCTTAGGGTGTAATGGTGATATATTCAAACTTTTTTTTAAATCAGATAAAAATTATGACCTCTATAGGGCCCACAAGCTAAAAATGCGATTTTTCGTACAATCAGGAGCCATAATTCAGGAAGTTACTGTCAGATATGCACGAATATCCGCGAACATCGAAAGGAAACAAGATCTTTTGGTTATTAAATTACATTTCCAATTTCAGCAAAATCGGATAAAAATTGTGACCTCTATTGGGTCCACAACCTTGATGTACCATATTTTTACGCTATTTGAGAACGAGGGGTGGCCATTTTGTCTGTCAGTTTTGGGCCGATTTTTACGAGTCGTCCTTAGGGTGTAACGGTGATATAATAATACGTATTTTTAAATCGGATAAAAATTATTACCTCTATAGCGTCCACAAGCTAAAAACGCAATTCTCCGTACAATCAGGGGCCATAATTCAGGAAGTTACGGTCTGATACATGCCAATATCGAAATGAACCAAGATCTTAGGGAGATAAAGCTATATTTCAAGTTTCATTGAAATCGGATAAAAATTGTGACCTGTAGAGTGTCCACAAACAAATTGTAGACGGACAGACAAACAGGGGCGACGACAATACACGTCCACATGAAAATGTGGGCGTATAAAAAGGTGATTTTTCGTACAATCAGGGGCCATAATTCAGGAAGTTACGATTCGATATGCGCAAATATCAAAAGGAACCAAGATCGTTGGGTTATAAACATGCATTTCAAGTTTCATCAAAATCAGATTAAAATTGTGACCTCTACAGGGTCCACAACCTTGATATACCATATATTTACACTATTCGCGTACAAGCGGCGGCCATTTTGTCCGTCAGTTTTAATCTGATTTTCACGAAATTCAAACGCAACCTTCATTACGGTGTAACGGTGATATACTAAAACGTTTTTTTTAAATTGGATAAAAATTGTGAACTCTGGAGGGACCAAAAACGAGATTTTTCGTACAATCAGGGGCCATAATTCAGGAAGTTACAATCCGATATGCGCGAATATCGAAAGGAACCAAGATCTTTGGGTTATAAACATGCATTTCAAGTTTCATCAATATCGGATAAAAATTGTGACCCCTAGAGTGTCCACAAGCTAAAATTGTGATTTTTCGTACAATCAGGGGCCATAATCAATGAAGTTATTAGTGTTGAAACTACTATTCGAATATACGTTAACGGATACAAAATAAGGGTTATCCGAATCATTTAACTTTCCGTTTACTATTCGTTACAACATATTCTGACATTCCGTATGCTTTATATTTAGCCATTTTTACGTCTGATTACTTTGAAATTTTCCCGAATGCAATTGATCACGTACGCATCTCTGAGCATAAATGTCAACATTATACGTATTATTTAGTGATAGTAACTAATAAAATTATTAATGCAGAGCAACGAAAACAGTAGTCTAAATAAAAAAAATATTCATTCATTCCCTGCGCTTGCTTCCGGCATACGAGTTTAGACCGTTTTTTTGACCTCCCACAATGCAATTTATTCACGTATATTCCCACTCACTGATTGGTTC